TATATTTATTTATTTATTTTTGTCTGTGCTGGGTCTTCATTGCTGCTCAGACTTTTCTTTAGTTGCTCAGAGTGGGGACAACTCTCTAGCTGTGGTGTGCAGGCTTCTCACTGTGGTAGTTTCTCTTACTGTGGAGCACAGCTTCTAGGGCACTCGGACTTCAGTAGTTGCAGAGTATGGGCTCTAGAGCACAGACACGATAATTGTGTTGCACAGGATTCGTTGCTCCACAGCATGTAGGATCTTCCCAGAGTAGGGATCAAACCTGTGTCTCCTGCACTGGCAGGTGGCTTCTTCACCGAGTCATCAGGGAAGCCCTTGCCATTTCTTTCTGGTTGTCTCACTATAGGCTCTTGTTGCAAGATGGTCAGGATAACTGTTAGTGTTTTAGGGGGACTGGTGTTACAAATTAAATTACAAATCTTTAATGAACTTCATCTTTTTTGTACATCAAAGGGCAGGACATTATTTTTCCCTAGAAAGTGAAAGTGTGCAGGCATCCAATCAAGTTTCTGAAAAGAATTTTTGTTGAGTTTTGCAGAACAGATGACATTGTGTTATGCTTTCTGAGTCTGTAATACATTTATTGACATTTGTATAAATTACAGTTGAAATGGATTCTTTTTATCATTCAGAAAACCAAGACATTAAAGTTTAAGACTCAGGAGCATATTCAAGTTTATCTAAAATATAATAATAATTTATTGTGTGGAAAGTTAGCAAACATTGAGATAGGTTGGTTTAATTACCAAATTTTGATTTGTTTGACTCATTCTAAAATACAGTCTTTTTTTAAGTGCAGTACTTTAAAATGAATAGTATTTTAAAATAAAGTGTTCTGGACTAGCATAAACATATTAAAAGGCAAATGTATTTTGCCTAAAATCTATTCTGAATTTTTATTTGCTTTACAAGGATTATTATCTATACTTCATTCACATATAAATGCAACTCTGATATTAGCTTATTTTTATTTTTTGTCATTAGAAAAGTTTAATTTTGGTTACATGTGTGTATGTTTCTTACTGGGGCATTATGTTTATTTTATTAAGGTTTATTATAAAATTGGAAAACTCTGAGGTGTTTATGAGAAGAAATATAGGCATAGTTGATAGATTAAATGTGACTGAACATTCTATTTTAGTCTGAAGATTAAAGTAATGGTTTTATTAAGACTGTGATCAAGTAAATCTGGAAGGTATCACATGATAGTAGAAAGAGTAACAGACACTGCTTTTATTTAGTTGTCTAACCTAGACAGCATATTATAAAGTAGAGACATTACTTAACCAACAAAGGTCCATCTAGTCAAAGCTATGGCCTTTCCAGTAGTCATGTATGGATGTGAGAGTTGGACTATATAGAAAGCTGAGCACCGAAGAATTGATGCTTTTGCACAGTGGTGTTGGAGAAAACTCTTGAGAGTCCCTTGGACTGCAAGGAGATCCAACCAGTCCACCCTAAAGTAAATCAGTCCTGAATATTCATTGGAAAGACTGATGTGCCAGGAGCCAACTCATGAGATCCCACCTATGACAAGTTCATGAGGAGAAAACCTGACCGGCAAGGCAGATCAGATTTTCAGGGATTCCGAAAAGCTGCCCCCGGTGCTCACCTTAAAGATGATATCTGTCTTTCTGATGCTTGCTTCAATAGACTACTCCCTAATTTCTGTGACATAGGCAGAAGGCCTTCCCCAATCTCTTTCCAAATAAGAATCAATTTAGAACTTTAATCAATAAGTTTTCCAGGTGGTGGTATTTTATGAGATTATCCAGGGTGAAAGGAGAGTTTTAATTTAAACTCCTTTGCTGGCATTTTAGTTTGTTTGGCAAACACATCTATGCCCTTGGTACTAATATACATGACTGCTTATAATACCCTAATCATAAAACAGCATAAAGAACCTGATCATATATAGGCCCTAATCGACATAGAGCCCTTCGGGGAGTGAAGGAGCCCTATTAGAAAATATAAGAAAAATTATTATAAAGGTGGTTATTGGGTTAACCTGTGTGTTTTTGCTTGCTGTGTTTTTGCTCTTAATGTGCTAAGGTTGTGTTATGGAAACCATTGTTAATATAGTTAAGATCTAGAAAAATAAGAGCTTAGCCCTAGTGTGGTAACAATTAGATGATTGTTAATTGTCAGCTAGAAGTGCTAGGCAGAAGCTGTGTCACTGAAGCCGCAGAGTCTGTGTGGGGTAAACTTCTTAGATAAATTCAACTGACAACTTCTGCAGAATTAATTTTTGTGTTAAGAAGGTTATACTTCTACTATGTTGTAACATGCTGTACTGTTGCCCTATGAGACTGTAACTTTTCTGTTAAGATCACCACAGAAACAGAAAATAGGTTTACATTCACCTGACTTGCATGAAATGTTAATAGGCCCCAAGGCCAGAAAATAATGTACAAGACCCTCATAAACAAAGAAGTATGCAGAAAACACCCTGGTTTCATGAAGGACAAGCTGATGTAGTGTTAAACTATCTTCCCCTTAGAAATGTACTAACTTAGGGTAAAAAGCTATGGTAAAAAATAAAGCATTGCCAGACTCTGCTGCACACCCCCAGTCTGGTCTCTCTTTCTCACTCTCTTTCTCTCTCTTTCTCTCTCTCTTTCTCTCTCTTTCTCTCTCTCTTTCTTTCTCTCTCTCACCAACGCCACTCATCCTGAGGGTACCCCTGGATCCTACCGAGGCTGGACCCCGGCACTGATGCTGAAGCTGAAACTAAAATACTTTGGTCACCTGATGGGAAGAACTGACTCATTTGAAAGACCCTGATGCTGGGAAAGATAGAAGCCAGGAGGAGAAAGGGATGACAGAGGATGACATGGTTGGATGTCATCACTGACTCAGTGGACATGAGTTTGAGTAAACTGCGGGAATTGTTGAAGGACAGGGAGGCCTGGCGTACTGCAGTCCATGGGATCACAAAGAGTCGTACATGACTGAGCAACTGAACTGAAATGAAATGAACCCTGGTTTTTAAGTAAAGAAAAACATAAAGAGTGATAATTTTTTTCACAGGATTGTTTTGGGGATTAAAGAAGATAACACTAAAGAACTAGGCAGAGATCTGGTCAAAGCAAGCCTGACAAGTCACTGAGGGCCTTTTGGAAACGGGCTTGGTCAGTTGAGCATTAAAAAAGGTATCTTGCAAGTTGAAGAAGGGAACCAGAAGGGTGAAAGTGATAAAATGCAGGAGACTTTTGCTATTACTCGCTTGAAAGAAATACTGATGTGACTAGAGTGTCAGGCACTAGGAGGGAATCAGGCTGACTTCTCAGGGCCAAGGGGCTTTATGAAGAAATGGAACAAAGGAACAAAGAAAATCTGTGATGGAGCCCTGCCCACTGTACCACTTCTTCACTTTCATTTTAGCACAAGCAGGTGAACGTCTTGTGCATACCCCCTCCTGGCACGCCAGTTCTGTGTTGTCATCCCATTCTTTGACTGCTACTCACACCCCACCTGCAATGAGCCACTAGACTCCTGCGTCTTTGGAACTAATAGAACATTTATCACAATAGACACTCGTGAACTGTTTGGAATGGGGAAAAAAAAAAAAAGGGAACTTTCTACTACATACAACATGATCTGAGCTTCATTTTTTTGGTCACATTCAAATTCTGAGACCCTGTGTATCTATCTATGTACTTACTACATTTCCTGAGCACATACTCTGTTAAACCTGATCACACTTTTATAGGTATCATCTCAATGCCTCCCCAAATACTAGGTGGTTATATCCTAAATATTTATGAAAATCAAAGTTCAGAAAAGCAAGAAATTTTTCATGTAACATGTTAATAGGAGATTCAGTTTCCAACTTTCAAAGCTTCTTTTTTGTGTATATCATGATGACATTTCTATTTAGAATGCTTCTCTTCCAGTGAAGATAGCTTGCAAGTTCCAGACGTTTATATGAGCTTTCCATTAAAAGCTTATATTTGTGACTCACTGTGTAGTTATTATTGCTCAGTTGCTAAGCAATGTCCAACGCTTTGTGACCCTAGGGACTGCAGCTTGCCAGGTTCCTCTGTTCTCCAGTATCTCCCAGTTTGCTCAAATTCATGTCCATTTGAGTCAGTGATGCTATCTAGCCATCTCATCCTCTGCCTCTCCCTTCTCCTTTGGCCTCAGTCTTTTCCAGCGTCATGGTCTTTTCCAGTGACTTGGCTTTTCCCATCACATGGCCAAAGTATTACAGCTTCAGCTTCAGTGTCAGTCCTTCCAAGGAATATCCAGGAATGGTTTCCTTTAGGATTGCCTGGTTTGACTTCTGTGCAGTGCAAGGGACTCTCGGGAATCTTCTCCGGCACCACGATTTGAAAGCATCAATTCTTTGGCACTTACTCTCTTTATGGTGCAACTTTCACATCAATACATGAGAAATCATAGCTTTGATTATACTGACATTTGCCAGCAAAATCATGTCTTTGCTTTTGAATATGCTGTCTAGGTTTGTCATAGCCTTCCTTCCAAGGAAAAGTGAAAAAAGTGAAAGTGTTAGGCCCTCAGTCCTGTCTGACTCTTTCCCACCCTATGGAGTGTATCCCGCCAGGTTCCTCTGTCCACAAAATGGAATTCTCCAGAGAAGAATACTGGAGTAGGTAGCCATTCCCAGGAGCAAGTATCTTTTAATATCAGGGCTTTAGTCATTGTCTGCAAAGATTTTGGAGCCCAAGAAAACAAAGTCTGTCACTGCTTGCATTTTTTCCCCTGCTACTTGCCATGAAGTGATGGAACTGGATGCTAAAATCTTAGCTTTCGAATGTTGAGTTTCAAGCCAACTTTTTCACTCTCATCTTTCACCCACTTTCAGAGGCTTTTTAGTTCCTCTTCACTTTTTGCCATAGACTGTTTACTTACCCAATGCTTAATGACTGAGCATCTTGTTGCTTCCTGAAAGTTACAGAAAATACTGACTGGCTGAGGAGAATTACGTGAGAAAATCACAAACACCAAAGAGAGTCTTTTCTTTTTCTTCACAGATTACACGTTTTTGGTGATGCTAAAGAAGACAGCTGCGTTTTCATATCAAGCACACAATTTAATTCTGCTACCTGTGCTGCAGGAAATAGATGGATTTGCCAAAAAGAACTAAAACCTGTCAGAAATAAAGTCATATATTCTTTCAGTTGACTAGACATCTCCCTCCATCTCTTTAATTTCCATTTCAGGTCTCTGTCATTTTAACTGTATATGTTGTCATAGTGGCTCCATGCACATTTTGTGGTACAAAGTGAGCACACACTGAGAATTCTAATTTTTGTGAATTTTACAAAAGTTCATGTCTAACCTCCTCATTCCATAACTGAGAAAACATATACCTAAAGAAAAGATGTCTCAGGGCATGTGCCCAGGAGTCGGATCACTGGATCATATGGTAGTTCTATTTTTTAGTTTTTTTATGGAACTGCCATACCGTTCTTCATAGTGGTTGTATCAATTTACATTCCCACCAGTAGTGCAGAAGGGTTCCCTTTCCTCCAGCCACTCTCCAGCATTTCTTGTTTGTAGATTTTTTTTCATGATGGTCATTCTGACTGGTGTGTTAGCACCATGTGTAAAATGGATAGCTAGTGGGAAGCTGCTATATAACACAGGGAACTGAGCTTGGTGCTCTGTGGTGACCTAGAGGAGTCTGATGGATAGGGGGACAGGTGGGAGGCTCAGGAGCAAGGAGATTTATGTATACTTATAGTTGATTCACTTCATTGTACAGCAGAAGCTAACACAACATTGTAAAATAACTATACTCTAACGAAAAGTCTCATTTTAAAAGACAGTGATACACCAAGGATAAAAGCCCAGACCAGCTAAGGGGAATGGTTTCTAATCCTTCTCCTTTCATCCATCCCCCTCTGTGCCTTAACTCATCTCCAAAAAAGTTTTAGTCAATATTTCTAAAGTTTTCTGCTTCTCCCACAGCCTCTATTTTTTGTTTTATGTTTTGTGGCAGAGCATGGATTAAAATCCATTCTCTTGACTCTTATATCAAAACTCCATTACTAAAGGAATTTGAAGAAGGGGACATAACTCTTCCCCATCATTGTAAAGTTCTTCCCATTTTAATTGTATCCTTGGTTCTTTAAAACTTAAGTTTTATTGGAGTATAATTGCCTTATAATACTGCATTAGTTTCTACTGTACAGCAAAACGAACCAGCCTTACGTGTACATTTATCCGCTCCCTCTAGGACTTCCTTCCCACAGTGCATTAACTAGAGTTCCATGTGCTGTGCACTCTGCACCAGGCACCAGTTTCTTTTTGGCACCAGATACCAATTTTTCCACCAACCAGGAAAGGGGGGGTGGTTTCAGGAAGATTCAAGTGCATTACATTCATTGTACATTTATTTATTTATGTCTGTTATCATTATATCAGCTCCACCTCAGATCATCAGCCATTAGATATGGGAAACTGGGGACCCATGCTATACAGTACGTTCTCATTAGTTATCTATTTTATATATGTGCATAGTATCAATAGTGTATATATGTCAATCAAATCCCCCAATTCCTCCCACTACCCCCTTTCTCCTTTGAGATCCATACGTTTGTTCTCTATGTCTGTGTCTCTATTTCTGTTTTGCAAATAGGATTATCTATACCATTTTTCTAGATTCCACATATATGCATTAATATGAAATTTATTTTTCTCTTTCTTCCTTACTTCACTCTGTATGACAGACTCTAGATCCATCCACATCTCTACAAATGACCCAATTTCATTCCTTTTTATGTCTGACAAGTCAGTGCCAGCCTGAATCATATAAATTCAAATAATACTATAATGACCAAAATAAAATTTTAGTTTCTGTTTTCCATGCCTGTTGATTTACAATACTTACTCATATAAAATTTTGAACACATCAAATATTCAGGGGATAATTCATTTTGTGCCAATTACTTAGGAAACATCAATAAATTTTTAGAAAAACATTTTAGACAAGATTATCTTTACAAAGTAATATATGATAAAAGTGAGAGTTTTGAAATGTTTGTTCCTTCGAGGGAAAAGACCTATAAAGAACAGATACTTTAGAAAAAACGTTCCCAGAATTGACAATATACATTCCTATCTCCTTGGAATGATGTTCAAAGCAACATTCTAAAGCCGATCAGGATAAAACTAAGTGCATTCAGTTAGTTCAAAATTCATTCTGATTATAGCACTTTCTTTCCCCTATATTTGTGTGATCTGAAATTAAGCACCCCTAAAGCACACATCTGTAAGAACCTTTTACAATGAAACTAAGCCCAAGAAGTTAGGTTCTTGAACTGCCATTTGCTACTGCACTATTAGATAATCATGTGAATTCATTCTTGAATATGATAAGGCTGAGGTCATCTCTGAAACTGAAACTATTAAGATGCATTTCCAGGAAGAAGACAAGTCTAACCATTCTAGACAGATTAAAAAAGAATATCGGATCTAAGAGAACATTTTTTGGTTGCAATATTTGAGTCAATGTTTATGTAACTCAGCTGGTAAAGTATCTGCCTGCAATGTGGGAGACCTGGATTCGATCCCTCAGTTGGGAAGATCCCCTGGAGAAGGGAAAGGTTACCCACTCCAGTATTCTGGCCTGGAGAATTCCATGGACTCTATAGCCCATGGACTCGCAGAGTCAGGCACAACTGAGTGACTTTCACTTTTTACTGACAATATACTCACTGCAAAGCCAAGTCATGTCAACCTATTATGTCACTCAGGATCGGCCATCTATACTTCCTCTGTGCAGCCCATGCTTCAAATGCAGGCTCTTGACTGCTCTTCAAACACATCCTGATGTTTTAGGATTTCATGGTTGCACCATACATGTGACAGGTTCCCTTCATATAATCCTTTTATTCTTTGCCTAGAAAAAGCCTAGGAACTGTAGAAAGCTCGAATCAAATGTTCATTTCTTTCTGAACTTTTCCTCAAATCTCTCTGACTCTTTTTATTTCCACTTTTCTAAAACAGAATTTAGTTTCTTCTTTGCAATATTATAATTAGTCCTTTTTTATAGTTGTAAAACTGACTCTGCTTCTCTCCTGGCTAGAGCTGGACAAGTATCACAATAAAACAATGAAGGGAAGAGAAGTCTCTGATTCAGTTAAAAGAGTAAGGGCAAAAAACTGGAAATAGAACTGCCATACGACCCAGCAATCCCACTGCTGGGCATACACACCAAGGAAACCAGAATTGAAAGAGACATGTGTACTCCAATGTAATCGCAAAACTGTTTAGAATACCCAGGACATGGAAGCAACCTAAATGTCCATCTGTAGACGAATGGATAAGAAAGCTGGCACTTTCTTATCCATGGTACACATACACAATGGAATATTACTCAGCTATTAAAAAGAATGCATTTGAATCAGTTCTAATGAGTTGGATGAAACTGAAGCCTATTACACAGAGTGAAGTAAGTCAGAAAGAAAAACACCAATACAGTACATTAGTGCATATATATGGAATTTAGAAAGATGGTAATGATGACCCTATATGCAAGACAGCAAAAGAGACATAGATGTGAAGAACAGACTTTTGGACTCTGTGGGAGAAGGCGAGGGTGGGATGATTTGAGAGAATAGCATTGAAACATGTATATTATCATATGTGAAATGGATCACCAGTCCAGGTTTGATGCATGAGATGGGGTGCTCAGGGCCGGTGCACTGGGATGACCCTGAGGGATGAGATGGGGAGGGTGGTGGGAGGGGGGTTCAGGATGGGGAACATGTATGATTCAGGTGAATGTATGGCAAAAACCACCACAGTATTGTAAAGTAATTAGCCTCCAATTACAATTAATTAATTAATTTAAAAAAGAGCAAGGACATAGCAATGGTCTATTTATGCCATATTTAATGACCCTTGAGACTGGACCAATGGCATGTATTCCATTTATTTTCTATGCCATGTGCTTGAATTTGAAGTTCATTTCCCACTATTTTATCTTCCTGTTCCACCCATTGACAGAGCTCCTCAATATACACAGTGTGTATTAAAAGCAGGTGTCAGGGTTAACATATTACACTATTACATGTAAAATAAACAGCAAGGACCTACCATATATCCCTTTGCTGTACACTTGAAACTAACACAACATTGTAAAGTAACTGTATTTCAATTTTTAAAAAAAAATAAATTATTGTGGAGAAAATTATACTGGGAAAATTTAAAAATAAAACATACATGAATTAGCCTAGCTTTTTTAAAACCATTATTTCCAATCCATGATGTGTAAGTAACCACCAATCAAATTCTGTTCCTTTAAAATGCAGGTATGAATAAACAAGAATAAGTTTGACTTTCATACCAAGAAGTGTGAGAAGGAAAATCCAAGAAGTACAAGATAATTGTAAAAAAGTTTTTAAAGTTCTAAACATCTATAAACTCATGAAGCAACTAAAGTAACCAGGTGTGATGGGCACAGTTTTTAGTTCACACCTTGACAGCAACTAGTTTGAATCTGCAGGTGTTTGATGAACTCCATTTTGTCCTCTTGTGGGCTTACTGGGTTTTGTTTTGTGTGTGTGCGTGTGGGCAGTTTGTGTGTGTTTGTAACTATACTTGTTCTCTTCCAACAAAGCAAAACCAAACAGGGTGAAAAAAAAAAGTTGTATATCAATCAGAAGTGGTTTATCTGTTTTGTCCTTTTGCACAGCTTATTTCCTTCATGATATATGAAATTTGATATTTATTTATATACCATTTATTCATTTTATTACCACAACTGCCATTTGAGCTCCATGAGATCAAGACCTTCATAGCATTTTAGTCCATGCATGGTTTTGGCACATAGTAAATGTTCAATAAGTATTTCCTGAACAACAAACAAATAATTATCAAATGGAATTTGTTTACTGAATGAGCTCTCCTAGGTGATTCTTGTTTGGAGTCTCTCTTGCAACTGGAGTGAGATGGTGACTGGACTGGAGTTAGCTCAAAGTCTCTGTCACTCATATATGTGGTTACTGATTACTTGAAACCTCAGGAGGATAACTGAGTTACAAGAACAGTTTTCTGAAAGGATCATTTTCCAAATAATAATCAGCATAGAATGATGTGTCAACATTTAGGAGGTGATCTGAGGTTTTCCAGGTGGTGGTAATGCTAAAGAATCCACCAGCCAGTGCAGAAGATAC